GCTGTTTGGTTCCTGGATTTTATTTCCATGTTTTGCAAGTTCCACGTTTTGGCCTCTAGCAACAATGAAAAGAAAATAGGACATTTATTATTCTGCTTTCTCTTTTCACTGCGGAGTCATTACACATTTTTGTAATATTCATTTTTCTCCACAGTTCCTTCCTAAATCAGCTGTCTTCAAGGCTAACCTCTGTTTAATTCAAACCAGCGGGATGCAAATATATTATGGTTATTATAGTGCTTTCAGGGGTTTAATAATAATAATAATAGAACAAAAAAAAAGATGAGCAAATGTTTAATTTATTTTCTAAGTCCCAGAGGCAGACAGTGTTGGTGGTGAACAGAAAACAGCAATTTCAAGAATCCGATTACCTCGATCAGGTTGTTTTTTTTTTTAATAAAAATCATTCTTATGGGTGAAAGACTTCTGGTCTGCAGTAAATAAGTAATGTTTTAGGATCTGACTTGGCAAAAAACTTTTAGTTTTGTATAACTGCACTATTACACACCTGCTGTTCCTTGTTGAGGTGTCTCTGCCCTTTAATTTGATCGACAGACAGACTTAAGTACCATATGATTGTGGATTGGAGAGAAAAGAATTAGTGTTTAAGTAAAAACTGAAAAAAAAAACAGATGTGTCCACTTGAATACCTTGGAATTAAATCTCATCCATAAGGTTGTTTTCAAAGGTCAGCCAATGTGTAAACAGCTGAATGGTAGTATAAATGCAGCAGTTCTGGGAAGGTCTCAAAAAACAAACGGCATCACGCAGACTAGGTGAGGCATCTGTGAAGGATTTTTTTTTTTTTTAACAATATCCCCATCTTTGATCATCTCTCAGAACAGCTAAGAGGAGAATGACCTTCTGAATCCTGAAAAAGTCCACAGGAGCCCACAAAAGTCTGTTCGACCAGACTAACAATCACAAAAGTCGTAGTAACTGCAGGAGGAGGAGTCTCAGCATCTAAGAATCTGACATTCTAATTATTCCTACAATTTACAAAGCAAGAAGAAAGAAAAGTATCTCCTTTTTAAAGTCTGTCACAAGCCATTAAAACAGCACAGCAAACATGAAAGACGGTGTGTTTGGACCTGAACTGACCCTGCAGATCGCTCTACACAACCACGCCTTAAACGGCGGGAGCCACATGTAGCTGTAGAATTAATGTTCGTCAGCAGAGACAGGGAAGATGGACAAATGGAAAACCACCTGGAAGATAAACCATCTAGATGCTAAAAAAGACGAGTGCCTCCTTACAGAAGGACAATCATGATAAACATGCATCAAAAGCTCCGGTGGACCTCCTGTCTCACCTATTGATTCATTTTTTACAGCTGCTTAATAATAGTAAACTATGAGATCAAGATATTGTTAAATACTTTAATGAATCCATTTTTTCTTTCTTCTCAATCATTTTATGCCTCCAGCTCTCCTTTAGTATCATAACACCATCCATCAGGTGGTGTTCTCGCTGCAGGGAGACGTGGCCAACAAATTCAATACCTTATTAGCAAATCAATTACAACTCAGCTCCTAACCATCCTTTAAATCCACCATGGTAATGGCGCACACTGACTCAAAATTTAGTATTATTAACATTATTAGGTAGCGTGAAGGGAAGAGATGTGTTCATTTTGGAGAAACTAATGTCAAAAGACTTAAAGATGTAGTTCTAAGAATTGAAGAGAGAGGCTAAATAAAAAATGCAAAACACAATTTTTATGTTTTAGGAAAAAAAATTCCCTTTATAGTCATTTAAACAGTTATAGAATATTTGTGTTGGAATGTCATCAATGCCCAATCAAATTCTTTGAGGTGTGCAGCTCTGTGGTGAAAATGCTCCTGCAGTTTTCCTGTGGTAACAGACTTTGTTTGGACTCGATGCGTCCAGCAGATGTTGAGTCGGACAGCTTGGATTTTATCCCTGCCGTCACCTGCTGTGTGAATTCTGATGTCATCTTTAACTCCCGTCATCTCGTCCTCCAGTGTTCCAGCTCACAGTCTGAGGAAGAGGAGTTCAGCGGCCGTGCCTGGGCAGCGATGAAGGCTGAGATGGGTTTGGATGAGAGAAATCCTTCATGCTTCCTGCACACCTACAGCGTCGTCATGGTGCTAAGAAAGGTAACCCTGCAATAATCGAAGGCCGCCCATGCGTTCAGGTACAAACTAGCTCCTGTGTTTCCTGTCAGAGCTGCTGGATCTCAGCTCGTATTTGGGTGTGATGATTCATGGTCCATGATTGTCGTCCTCTACGAGAGCTGGAGGACTGCCTGGATAATTGAGATAAACGGCAGCATGGCTCTGGATGTATTCTGTGATTATAAAATATGATCAATAATCAGTCTAACTAATGACGTTGCTGTTGCTTTGTTCTCTCTGTGGGTTAAACCACTTGGGGCAGCTCGAGTGAATCTGAGCGCATGCTGTTGGCCTCTCTACTGACCCCCCCTGAGCTTGACGAGGTTAAGCTCTTCGCAATAATATCATCTTCCCAAAATCTGGGTTTGCATCACTGAACAAATTAGCACGCAGCTTGAGCTTGTTCCCTTTAATGAAGTGGAAAGGCAGGATCATCCCAGCGGTAAATCCGACTCAGATCAGTGTATTTATACATCGAAGCATCCTTATAGCTGCTGCTTGTGTTAATAAATCAACAATGAAAGCGGTGATATTTAAGGCTGAGGTGATTAAGACGCTCAGTTGTAGATTTATTAGAGATGAAAGCTGAATGAATTAAGGGCTGAGTTTCCTTTCAGCCAATCTGCCTCATAGTAAGAGCTGCAGCAGCACCGGCAAACTCTACTGTAGATGGAGGAATCAAACAACAAGTGAGATCTGATACATTTGAATTCAATGTGTCTTTGCTCAGTTCAATTAAAATAAATATGATGTACAATAATATGATGTACTTCAGATTATTAGAGACGGTTAATGAATGGGACAGTGGTTGTTACCTAGATGGACTGATTGGTGATCAGCAGGATCAAATACCCGCAGATCTGCTGCCACTTTTTATACACGTCAACAAATGATGGGAGATTTATTTAATTTGATTATTTAAAGGAACCTTTTGGTCATTTTTTTATTCTTAGATGCTACAATCTTTACACTTTTCAGTCTAAAAACTTACTAAAAATCAGAACACTGCAAAAAAATTTAATCTTAAGTCAGTCTCTTAAGATTAATGCAAGTTTTCTTGAGTTAAGCAGTTAAAGGACAATTTGCAAATGGTATAAATCAATTTCCTTATAAAATAAGATAAAGCAATTGCATTATTTCAAGTGTAATAATAATAATATCTAATTATCTTATTGGAAGAGCAAAAATATTCATCCTGTTGACAGATCATCTTATTTATCTACTCAAATTGCTGGTAAATACACTTACCGGTAAATAAGAAATGCTAACTTACTTTGAAATAGTTTTTGCAGTGAATGAACCAGAAACGCTTTTATAAACCAAGATGCTTTCTTTACCATCTACTCATCTATTTGATCAAACTCGCACAGTCAAGAGCTCTGTAGGGTTTTGTAAAGGAAACCCACAGACTGGCAGAAACAGATGATCCCTGATTTCCAGGTCTGTTCCTGATCTTCCAGGGAGGCAGCTCTCCTATTAGATGCCCACATTCCTCCAATCTCCTCACCTCCTTTCTATGGCTGATGTTGAATACACAGTAGCTTGCATCTGGTGGGGTTTTTACAATATTAAATCTTTAAACAAGATACCCAGGAAAATATTTGATACTTGATACCATTTTCACTCCCATGGGAATTAAAAACAATGAAAAAAGGGCAGGAAAAAATATTTGTAATGATATGAAAACTAACTTTTTTTCCAACCTCAACTGCAGTACATGTCCAAAGTGCTGAACAAAAGGATCGAATGTTAAGTGTGCAAAGAAAAGAGAAGGATGGATGGATAGATGGATATGCTATAGATACAATGAACTAATATCTTTGACAAAGGACAGCCCTTGTATCTGGAATATTTTCCCTTGGTCTCTATTAAAGTCTTACAGCCAGAGAGGAGGATTATGATATAAAGAAGCTAACTAAGCATCTGTTTTTATTACCATGGACCTAGGGCTGCAACTAACGATTATTTTGCAAATCAATTAACCTGTCAATTATTTTTTTGATTAATTGATTTATAATTGGATATCCAAAGATTCCTTACAGAAGATTTTTTTTTTTACAGAATATAACCAGGTCAAATAAAAACTTTCCACTTGTGGAGTTAAGGATAGAGCATGTTGACAGATGAAAAAGTTTTTTTCAGAAATGTAAAATATATATGCAGTGTTTTCTTATAATTACGGCTCAAAGTGTGTCACTTTGTCGGCTAAAGGTCTCTATGCTCCAGTTAATGATTATTAAATTACTACTTCATTACTAAATTAGTTGACAATTATTTCAATAATCGATTAATCCGATTGTCTCAGCCCTTCATGGACCGGTTCCTGAACGAATCTGTTGGCAGCAGAGTTTGAATCCATCCTGCTGTCGCTACATTATCATGTTTAAGCTGTATAAACCTGACTGAAATCTGTCCAGAATGTTGTTTTACTTCTGTTTTTCATTGTCCTGTTTTTTATTGTTCATTATTCAATGTAAAATATAAGTTGCAACCCGTGTTGTTAGACATGGTGCATAAAAACAAAGCTTATAAGAGATGTAAAAATGTATTTCTTTGTATCTTTTAACTGTGGAAAAAAAACAAAACATCGAAAGATATGTTTAAGTGGCTCACAGTGACTTTGATGTTGAAACACGAAACCTTTCCCTGAACAAAAATAAAGAAAGATGTTTGTTTTTATGTTTTTTTTCCTCCTTGCTCCAGGCTGCTCTCAAACAGCTACCAAGAAACAAAGTGCCCAACATGGCCGTGCTGCTGAAGAGCATCATCCACACCAACGCCGACGCTAAGGCTGTGTTTAAAGACCCTACAGGTAAATCACACAAGTAGTCCCCCAAGTGGGGCTTTTCCAGCTGAAATGTAAAACGTCTTCTGTTGGGATTTGTTGAATCTGGTGAAACGCTGCAAACTTGCATCACATGCTGGTGGAAAACAAGCTTTCTGATTTTTAAGAGGGAGATATTCCAACCCACAGGGAAAGCAGTGAGCTGTTCTCTTCGCTTTGACATTTGCTCTTGCAGCATTGGCCTCGCTCCACGTGGCATCGACAGCAAAGTTCAGCCACTGTAACGAGCTCGGCTGAACACACACACACACACACACAAATTAGTGCATGCAGTCCAGTCCAGATGTGTCCCCCATCTGCACCAAGCTTCTTAATTTTCCGAACTCATCTCCTCTGCGGCGCCACCCTAAGCCTTCACGCCATTCTCTGATCCACCTCCAGCGTCCGTTCTGTTGCCATGGCCTCCTGAGCGCCGCTGCATCTGCTGAGCTGATTATCAGCAGAAGTGGATGTTTTTCAGCTCTGGACTTAAGTGCCTATTAGTGATTCAGTTGTAGCGGACTGACTCCTGTGGTGGGCGGGTATTAGGTGCTTCTGACACCAAGAGTGACTGTTCTCTTCGTAATGAGCCTGCCGCCCACTGGAAGCTCCACAGCTTGTTTCCAAAAGACCCGCAACATTTTCTCACCCTTCAATCAGATTCCAGTAGGAGGAGTTTATTTCAGCTTAATAACATTTCAAAGCCTTCTGTTACAAAACATATTATTTCTGTAACTTGAGAACATTTAAAAAACTCATATTTCTTGTCATAACATATTTGAGCATATATTGAGCATATTTATCTTGTGACAAATATGCTCTGCTGTCATTTTCTACATCCTGTGGTCACTGTTGGTGGAAGTGGTTGAAGAGCAGACGTTTAGAGGCGCAGCAGGTTTGCTGGTTCAAATCTGAGGCTGACTGTGGTGTCAACTCACTGCCTCCTGGGAGATCGGTTAAACACTGAGGGATCATAAGCCTCTTTCTCGCTGAAATAAGCGGGTTTACCCGGGTTTTTCAGACATGGGTCGACCTGCTAACAATCAGCATTTGGTTTCCTTTTCGCTGTAAAAAAAAAAGCTGGGTCTAACCCCTCGCTGGCAAGGCCTCTGTCCCCTTGTGGCTGCGTATCTGGTGACACTAGCACACTAGGTTAGCACTGATGTTATCAGTGCAACAGAAATCACTAAAGAAAATAATGGAGAGCAACATGTCAGGAAGCCAGGTCTTAATAAGTATGCTGTACTGTTTTGCTCTTTTGTCCCTGTGAATCCCTCCCACCAGCACAGCGCTGTTTATCGAATGTAAACGGGGCCGTTTTGGCTTGTCAGATCAGAAGCTTCTGGCGGTGTTTTGAAATTTCGTTCAATTGTATTGCGTATTTTAGCTGATCAACCCAGGTCTGGGGTTCCCACTGCTTGCCAATCAGAGCTGAGGCGATTTTAACGCGGGCTGCTTGCTGAGTCATTGACCTGGTTAGACACCAGTGTCAGTGAGATGTGCCACTAAAAGCCGATTGTTCCCGGTCTAAGACGACCTTTTGGGCCAGAGGGAAACGGGTAATAAAGGGATCTTTCCTTTCTGTGGTTGACAGCAGAGGGATCATGTTTGCTTTAAAGTCTGTAACTGTTGTAGAAACAGGCAAGTTAGACTCTGCATACATTGCTGTGAAAAAATATTTCCTACAAAGCAGAATTCTGTTTTTTTGCAATTTTGTTTGACTGTACAGCCCCAAAATCAGTTCGAAAAACCACAACCAAGTCTGCTCACTATCAGATCTGTGCTATCCAGAAATGTATTCAGTGGTACCTGTGTGTCAACATGAAGTAGGCTGAAAAAAACTCAAAATGAATCCTGCTCATACATAAATAAGTAAATTACAAATGAGAACGGAAAAAAAAATAGCAAACAAAAAACACAACATCTTCCAGTCTGGGAAGAGTGAAGAAGGCTTGGAGCTCATGGACAGCTCATCCAGGAGGTCAGAAAAAGAAGAACATCTAAACCAGGGAAGATGTTGTTCTGTTTAACTTAATCCAGTTTTGATTTGCGTCCTGTTGCAGTAACCAGGATATAGATCTACATTTTTATCAGAATTCTTGGTTTTTATCTCAGTCCTATAATACTGCAAAAATGTTCCCTTAGTTTCATTGGAGAAAACCCAAACAACTATTGCTTCCTTAGCCAATTTTTTTTATTTTCATCCAGCGGCTGTGAAAGCGTTCCAGAGCTTTTACTGCAGGAGACGACACTCCCTGATATTTCTTTTCTGCAGACGACATCTTGTCTCTAACCTCAGTCTTGTGGATTGTTGTGTGGTTTCAAGTCATCAAGGAGCTTCCTAAAGTGCTGGAAAGTGTTTTTTTTTTCACACCCTTTCTAAGAGAATCCACATTTTAGAGCAAATGTCCTGCTGTGAAAAAGCTGTCTGCTGCACTTAATGTAAACGCTAGAAGCAATTTGCCAGATTGGTTTTCTGAACTTGCCTGGCATTAAGGCATTAAAGTCACTCTTTTCTCAAATTCATCCCTTTTTATAAAGTTTATTGATCCTGCAGACCTTAACGAGGATTCAGAGCACTAGAAAGAATCTTCTTTTGGGTCTCTATTGTCCCTGTTGACCTGGGTTTAGGTTTTGTTATAATATTTACTCCCTGAATAAAGTACAAACCTTAACCAAGAAGTCTGACTGAACAGTAAATATTTCTAGATTTTCAGTGCATTATTAGTATGTTGATCTAGAGAGACACTAATCATAGCGCCAGTGATCAGAGTCGGACCATTTTCTCTGTTCTGAACTTTGATCACACGGTTAAAGCCGATTTAAATAAATCAAAGCAAAACTCCCACTAGTTTTGGAACATGAAAACCTCAACCAAGAGCATTTTCTTTGAACTTCAAGTTGAACAAAAAACCCAAAACAGATAAAGATTAAAAATAAATGCTTTGATGCATAAATGGAGGAGATTGTATTTGAAATGCTGCCTTCTTTTTTTTTTCTTTATTAATATCTTTGTTTGATTTACAGCTCTGCTTCTCTCAGAATCTGCAGCACACTTCTTCATTTTTTTTTTTTATCTTAAACTGCTTTTTTTTATCTTTCATGCTTTGGTGCTGAAGGGGAGATTCAGGGAACTGTGCATCGGCGTCTTTTAGAAGAAAGATCTGAGGATTTAAAAGCTGGAGTTGTGCTGCTCCTAAAACAGGTGAGACTAACTAGAAAGTGCTTCATGTGCTCCACCTAAAATTAGCCGTCGGTATAAATCTGCTTTCTTTCCTTTTGGGATTAGGTGGGTGTTTTCTCTCCATCCCACCGTAACCACTACCTGAACGTGACGGCCAACAACCTGCTGAGGATCTACTCCCCCGACGGAGTCAGTCTGTCCACTCAGCTCCCCCCGTTAGTCTTGGTGAGGACCAGCTGGAATCAGTAATCACAGTTAATGCATAAAATGTTCTTTTAAAACCCGCTTAATGGGCTTTTAAATCCCTTTTGTCCCACTCAAGGAGCCAGCCACGTCGCCACCTGCCGGGGCTCCAGGCATCCCCCGGGGGCCCGTGTCTCGGATGCAGCTGGAGTTCGACGAAGAGGAGGACGAGGGAAAAAAGGCTGAGGAAGGCAGAGCCAATCAGGGGCAGGAGGACAAATCGGTCAGCCCCAGCACAGATCTCCATCGGAGTTTTGGGAATCCAGCTCAGCAGGACGCAGACTGGGATGCAGGTCAGACTAAACTGATACTGAGGGAGCAGCACCTGTAGATGTTTATTTGGGAAGTGATTACTTGCTTTTGAACAACTTAAGACAACAAGCCTAAATATTTCTTGGATTTTTATCTTTAAGATAAAATGTAGATTCAGGTTTTAATGTTTTGGACTTGATTAGATAGAAATACTTTTAACTCATGCATAGTAGGAAAGCCATCCACTACAGCGGCACCATGTTAGAAGTTATTTATATGCAAAGTGGAAATTTACAACACTTGGTTAATAATAAAGAACGGGCATTGCATTTCAAACAGTCCTTTGCAATATTTATAGTGCAGAGACTCCAATATTCAGATAATGACGCTTTATTAACAATCTGCTCTGTAGCTCCTATATGTATGCATAGTTAACTCGCTTGATTTATAGGTTTATAATGATTAATTTAACTGCATCGCTGCAATAAATAAACTAGACCTAAATGTTCCTTTTGCATGATTGCGTCTCTACATTTCTACATTAAAAAGCTAAAGGTTTTATCAATGCCTCAGTGGGATTTTGGTGTATAAATGAGTCCTTCCTGTGTCAGCTATGTTTTGCCCTGCAGCATTTACCTGCAGGCTAACACATTTGGCTGCATTTCATCAGGTGTTGCGTATCTTACCGCCTATAAAACCATATTTTTGTAAGGTACATTTGCCAGTAATGCAGACCGAGATGGCATCTTTTACCTGCAATAAAAGGTTTTCTCACTTACTGCAGAAAGCAGAATATCTAAACTGACAACTTTCAAGCCAAGATTTGTATTTTAGCTGGATAATATTTGACAGCCATCAATTAATTTTATCAGCTGACACTTCAAAACTTTATTCTGTTTGTTCTCCAATCATTCCTCTGTCTTGTCTTTGTGCAGATGATGACCTGGATGAACTGCTGGGAGAGATACAGGAAGACACGTTCAGCTTTTGACATCGACTTTACATCAAACCATCACCGTTCACATCTTTAGCTGGCTCGATCTGCTAACATTAAAGTCACCTTCAAAAGTATCTGTAAAAATATGTATATTTTATGTTCCTTTTTGATAAACCAACTGTATTTAAGTTCTGGAATGACTCTCATGTATCACTGAATACTGATGTCACCTTAACGAAGCAAATGCTCTTTAGTTCCACCACTTCAGACCACTGACTGACAGCAGTTTGTTTTTGTAATTATGCTGCATTAAAGGGGAGCCTTTGTTACCTGCTGGACCTTCTTGTTGGTTTGTCCTTCACCTACATACTTCTCACTGTCCCTTGATGGAAGGACAGTTACTCAGTGGAGTCCCAGTGTCTCTAACGGGCTCTTATGGAGGGATTTCCTTCTCACATCCAGACTCCTCCACTACGACTGCCTCACTGTAGCAGATTCAGGTTAATCCTCAGCCTCTTTGTCATTCTGAGGAAGGAGCAGCAGCTTTAGTGTCCCATTTTATGCTTAAGAGGGAGAGGGAATTAGAAGATAAAATGTGTCTTGTTTGCAGAACATCCTCTTTGTTAGAAGGCGTTCACACATTTAAACAGCTTCTGTTTGAGCTCCATCATCTCTCATATAGGGACTGAATAGAGCCATTATTTTATGGGAAAAACCAAGGGTTGATTTTAAATGTTGGTGTCAGGCAGAGTACAGATAAGCTCTTATCATCTATATGTTTCAAACGCCTCTTAAAGGAAACAGGGTTTTTCATTTTACTGATAAGTGAGCATATCAAGGCAGCTAAAATATGTTTTGGTTAATGATGCTACAAATCACAATTCTGTTTGCCAACAAAAACAATATAGATATCAAATCCAGATTTTTCCCAGAAAAAAAAAAAAAAGTTTTTTTTTTTTTTTTCACAGCTATGGGTTGCCCCTACATTGATTAAAAAACCTTAAAATAAAAAAATCCAACATTTAATGGGACAGTAAGAAATGGCTTCATAATAAATGCACTTCATAAAAGACAGATCTTTAGAGCAATCATAGGCAATTCAATTCTGATTACACACAGTGACTAACTGAATTTAATTACATTTAGCTAAAATTAGGGGTGAACCAGTTGCAGGTTTCTGGCCGATAAATGATTCCTGGTCTTTAAAAAGCCTGAAATGCCTTGAAACAGATTGTTTTTAATAACATTGTTGTTATAAGATCACAAAACTCCTTAAATATGTCACTCTTATCTTATTAAAAGGCATCAGTTACTTAGAAACTGTAAAAACTTCTGAAAGTACTGCTCTCAAATGTAGATCAATGTTTAGAACATTGATTTTCAGACCTTTGCAGTGATGTAAAAGATGTTTCACACCCAAGCATTGGCAGATCACCCATCTCCCAAAATTTAGGAAATCTGTGCTGATCAATCATTTCACCCCTACCTAGAATGATTTGCCAATCTGGTAAAAATGTGATCTTGTTTGAATATATAGCCTGCAAGGGCTTCTTATCCTAAACTTGCCTCTTATTCCATGACAAAGTTTACTTAAAATCATACATGGAGGATAATGAGACCAAAATACTGGATTGTGTTTACTATAGATAAGTTTGGGTTAAAACAGGATGCACATGTGTATTCATACACTAATGCTATTATGGTCAAGGATCTCTCATGTTGTGGGCCAGTTTTTCTTCCAAAGGTCCTGGGAACTTTGGCCGTCAGCATGGCATTGTGAGCTCTGATAAGAACTAACCTCGTGGTCTCTTTATATACTGGGTCATTATGTGATCTTTGGCCAGATCTAGCACAGATTTGTCCTTTTTAAATAACCACCATTTCAAATTTTAGGTTTTAAAAATGAAGGGAAAAACTTGAATGGGTTGAAGAAATTTGAGGAAAAATTCTGTTAAAAAAAAAAGTTCACTTATTAAAGATCAGAAAATATATTTATGTTATAGTTAGAGTGAAATCCTTTTGGATGTGTAATACAATTACATTTAATTATTAAAAAGAATTAGCTGGCTCTTTATCATTTTTTACCAAAAGTTGCAGACCTCTGCTCTAAGTTTTAATGTTGAGTCATTTTTTCTAATTAAAGGCTCATAACTTTGGGGGAAAAAATATTTTGCAAGAAGATGTAACCTCAAAACTACGAAGATGTCCGATAGCTTTTGGGTTCTGATAATTTTTTTTATATAAGGATTGTTTCTGTTTTCTAGGAAGCTTTAACTCCTGAAGACTAGATTCTTTTTTAATGTTAGGTCTGTTAAAGAAAATGTCTTAATGAGTTCTGTAAATATCAACAAGCTAATTTGAGGACTTTAGTTTCCAACAAAGGAAATTAACTTTGACAGAAGAAAAACAAGCGTGAGTACTATGGATAATAAGACCAAACCTGATATCATTCTTGCATCATAACCAGCAGATGGTAGCATTTTCTACCCTCCTTTAAAGTTCGGGTCCCGGCAGACCTTGTTAGCTCTGCTCAGATAAGGCAGATAAGATCTTGTTTATAAAACTCTGAATGACAATGGATAGTAATTGACCAGAGTGTCTCTGATGGCTTTGTGAGCATGGAGGTGTTTGCTCCTCATTCTTTTTTGAATCAATTCAGGAACGTCTCAATTTCCCGCAAGTCTAGAGATTTTGTCTCAGGCAATAGAATCATTTGCTCTGAATAAATGAGCTAAACACAATTTGGTCAGAATATACATCCTAATGTTAAACTCATAGGACCATCTTCTGTCTCTGTCTGAGCAGTCAAATACCATCGCATGGAAGCAAAAAAATATATTTTTTACAGATGTATTGCAATTTGGAATGAGAAGAAAGTCTCTTATTTCTGTTGTAAAGTGCTGTGAACTCTCTGAACTGGCAACAAACAAATCCCACTGACACCAATTACTTTTTAACAAGCCTTGGCTTACCTGTTTGCTTCAAACCAGGGTCTATAAAAATGGAAAGTTCAACTTAAAGTTCAACAAGCTGTACTGCTATGATATAATGCTGGAAATGAAGACAACCATTATCTGTAAGAGCAGCCAGATAAATACATTTAAAAGAAAAATATATAAATAGACCCAGCTAACCCTTCATTAATATGTGAAGCTTTGAAATGTGGATTACATCATAAAATAAATTAGGCTGGTTTCCTATAATAGGATTTAAAATTAATAAATAAACCCTAAAGGCAGTTGGTGTTTATTTTCTCTAAATGTCAAAGCACCAAGAATATTTATGCTTCTATATTTCAACGTTGCATTAAAGTGTTATCACCTTTCAAATTAAAAAGAGAACCATAAATAAATGCTGAAAATCTGGATTAATTAATCATATAAATAGCAAGTTCTTTGGATGCAGGAGGATAAGATTGCTGGAGTATTAGGCTTAATTTTAAACCCAGGAGATTGTTTAATCTCTGTAAAACTACGCTCATTACCTCAGTGGTTAAAAAAAAAACAAGATTTGCTTAATTAAGTTGTTAAGAAACCAGAAAGCCCTGCAGCTGTCTGGGACCATGGAAAATTTGATTTGGGAAAAAAGGCCACGTGATCGACAGTCATTGTGTGAAAGGCTGTGTGTTGGGAGCAGAAACATAGATTATCTTTTAACTTTCTTCACTTTTAATGAGGGCTTTGGTGCAATGGGGTAAACTCAGACGAAGAGTTCAAAGGGATGGAAAAAAAATCTCTAATATGGCTTTCAAAATGATGATGCTACAAGCAGCATTTAAAACTCCTTCTATAAAATAAAGTTAGTTTTAGAAAATTATTTTGATTTTCTGAATTGATTTTGGTTGGAGCTTATTACTAATTCCACATTTCAAAAAAAGGACCTTTACAAAACAAAACAACTTGTCCACTTAAATTAACCGAACTTTATTTAAATGTCAACGCAATTTATTAGCATACATATGGTAATAAGGTCAATTTGTAATCCGATTACTCACACAGCTTAAATAAAATTGATTTTGCATATTGCATATGGATTAAGAGCATATGTCATGAAGTATAATAGTTTCTACTGAAGAAAAACTGGGAGCTGAACGTGCGAGAAAAGAGCCTTTTAAGAGAGAAAGCTTCCTGCTTTTTGTCTGATTTCACATCAAGCCTGCTTTCTGTGAGCCAAGTGCTCTGTAGGGAAAGAATGGATCTGATGGTTCTTTCATACAGAACTTGACTGGGCAATTCAGTTTTTCTTCCTAAGAAAATTTTCAATTTCTATTATGGATTTGCCAGCAAGCTGGGGGAAAACTGAAGAAACAGGATCTCCTTATGACAAACGTTTAAATAAATTTGACAAAGTGTCTAACAAATTCATTAATAACCTTTAATTTTTGACTTGCAAAGATTTAAATCCATGTTTCAATTTGCATTTATACCTCACAGTTCTTTCCTCTTTTTAAAATTGATTAATTTATTTGTCCCAACAATTATGTTGGTTCTACAGTAATTTCCACAGTTTGATTTGTGTGTTGGTTTTAATGTAAAATTTGTATTCCAGATGGGAAAGAGAATCACTCACTTTTGCTGGTTTTCTGATCATTACCTAAAATTCTATATGGCTCCTTTGCATATAAAAGTAAATCATAGCCACAGGAATGTGTTTTTTTTTTCTATCTATTTTAATCTTTTAAACATATTAAGACAGTTTTTGAAAGTTTGAAACACAGATACATTTATTGCTATTAGCTGGAATTCTTAATGCCATTACATAGTCACAGAGGTTATCAATAACATTACTGGTTTTTAAACTCTGAGGTTTAGATGAGTTTGACATGATTCCATTATGCAGAGTAGACATTTGTAAGCTTTTGTGAAGGAGTGTTGGCTTAGTGGTTAGAGCGGTGCGCTTGTGCTCTGAGAAGGTTGCTAGAACCCCACACTGCTCCCTAAGCGCTGCACAATGGAAGCCCACTGCTCCCAAACAGGATGGGTTAAATGTAGAGAGCAAATATCCGTCCAAAAAATTTACATTACATTACATTTATGTCACCATCATAGATTTTAGTTTGAATGTTTTGGGGGTTTTGCACTCAGTTGGCTACTCTACTGATCCCTTGCAGGGTTATTAAAGGAAACAAAAAATATTACCCTTAGCAGGACCCAATTCAGTTTTCCTGTAAAAGCTTCAAACTGCAGAAATGGAGAAACTGCTTTGGAATTGCTTTACGATATCCATTTCTTAAAAGAATATCAAAATATATGCTGACATTCATCTTATTGTTCAGCTTACATTTAGTCACTATTGTTCCCTTGGTATGTATTAATGTTACCACAATATTA